TGTGTAAATGTTTACATGGGTGAAAGAACTCTGGGAAAAATATTTTGTGAAAAGTGACAGCATATTTTGTTGCACGCACAGCAATCAATATATGGAATTAAATAACACCAAATACATGTACCCAGCAAGGTAAATACAATGTCAAATAAAAAATATGTCCAGCATGAATGACTAATCGTTTGGCATTGAATCACCTTTATGTCTTCATCTTGGGCATATTCATAAAATGATGCTTTATAAGCAAGCTTATTATATGCATAGGACAGTCATGCCATTGCAAATAAGTTAGGAGATCCAGTGCCATACACAAGCATTTGTTTGAGTTGCACAAACAGTGCATGATTTTACATTATAGTGTTTACTCTGCCATGATTTGTAAGCAGCTACTATGATTTACCATCTATGAGCGATTTCACTGTAAGTGTGAATATAAATACAAGTTTGTTAAATCTACCTCTGTATGAACAATGAAATCTAAACCTATCACTAAACACTCTGTAGTAAATATGTATACCTACTGACCTTATTAAGTTTACTTTCCCCTGCATCCCTACCAACAACCATATAACTGGTTTTCTTGCTGACACTACTCGTCACTTTACCACCATACCTTTCAACCAATTCCTTTGCCTGGTCTCGTTCAAGGGATTCCAGCACCCCAGTAATTACCACTGTCAACCCCTCCATACAATTGTCAGCTCCCTAGAAAAACACAATACAAATATTGATAAAAATTCTATAAATATTTTTCTCTATTGCTAACAGCTTTTTAGTTAATTTTTGACAGGTCTGTCTACATCTGCTCACATGAACACTGAGGGCACTGTTCACTTTTGTTTACATGAACACTGAGGGCTCTGTTCACAACTGTTTACATAAACACTGAGGGCTCTGTTCACTTCTGTTTACATGAACACTGAAAGGTTTGTTCACTCCTGTTTACATGAACACTGAGGGCTCTGTTCACATCTGTTTACATGAACACTGAGGGCTCTGTTCACAACTGTTTACATGAACAATGAGGGCTCTGTTCACAACTGTTTACATGAACACTGAGGGCTCTGTTCACAACTGTTTACATGAACACTGAGGGCTCTGTTCTCATGAACACTGAGGGCTCTTATTACATGAACAATGAGGGCTCTGTTTACATGAACAATGAGGTATGTTCACTTCTGTTTACATGAACACTGAGGGCTCTGTTCACATCTGTTTACATGAACACTGAGGGCTCTGTTCACATGAACACTGAGGCTCTGTTCACTTATGTTTTCATGAACACTGAGGGGTCTGTTCACGTCTGTTTACATGGAAACTGAGGGCTCTGTTCACAACTGTTTACATAAACACTGAGGACTCTGTTCACATGAACACTGAGGGCTCTGTTCACAACTGTTTACATGAACACTGAGGGGTCTGTTCACATCTGTTTACATGAACACTGAGGGTTCTGCTCACATGAACACTGAGGCTCTGTTCACTTATGTTTTCATGAACACTGAGGGGTCTGTTCACGTCTGTTTACATGGAAACTGAGGGCTCTGTTCACAACTGTTTACATAAACACTGAGGGCTCTGTTCACATGAACACTGAGGGCTCTGTTCACAACTGTTTACATGAACACTGAGGGTCTGTTCACATGAACACTGAGGGTTCTGCTCACATGAACACAAGCTCTGTTCATTTGTGTTTAAATGAATACTAAGGGTTTTGTTCACAACTGTTTACATAAACACTGAGGGCTCTGTTCACATGAACACTGAGGGCTCTGTTCACAACAGTTCACATGAACACTGAGGGGTCTGTTTACATCTGTTTACATGAACACTGGTAGCTCTGTTCACTTCTGTTTACAAGAACACTGAGGGGTCTGTTCACTTCTGTTTACATGAACATTAAGGGCTCTGTTCACATGAACACTGAGGGCTCTGTTCACTTCTGTTTACATGAACACTGAGGGCTCTGTTCACTTCTGTTTACATGAACACTGAGGGCTCTGTTCACTTCTGTTTACATGAACACTGAGGGGTCTGTTCATAACTTTACTTGAACACTAAGGGGTCTGTTCACATATGTTTACATGAACACTGAGGGCTCTGTTCACTTCTGGTCTTTACTAGACTCGTCACATCCGACAATGTACAACACACACTTACATAAGGTAAGGTTCATGCCAGGTTCGGCCACGTAGAGGGCTCTGTTCACTTCTGTTTACATGAACACTGAGGGGTCTGTTTACATCTGTTTACATGAACACTGAGAGCTCTGTTCACTTCTGTTCACATGAACACTGAGGGCTCTGTTCACTTCTGTTTACCTGAACACTGAGGGCTCTGTTCACTTCTGTTTACATGAACACTGAGGGGTCTGTTCACTTCTGTTTACATGAACACTGAAAGGTCTGTTCACTCCTGTTTACATGAACACTGAGGGCTCTGTTCACATCTGTTTACATCAACACTGAGGGCTCTGTTCACAACTGTTTACATGAACACTGAGGGCTCTGTTCACATCTGTTTACATGAACACTGGTGGCTCTGTTCACTCCTGTTTACATGAACACTGAAAGGTCTGTTCACTCCTGTTTACATGAACACTGAGGGCTCTGTTCACATCTGTTTACATCAACACTGAGGGCTCTGTTCACAACTGTTTACATGAACAATGAGGGCTCTGTTTACATGAACGCTGAGGTCTGTTCACTCCTGTTTACATGAACACTGAGGGCTCTGTTCACATGAACACTGAGGGCTCTGTTCACAACTGTTTACATGAACACTGAGGGCTCTGTTCACAACTGTTTACATGAACACTGAGGGCTCTGTTCACAACTGTTTACATGAACACTGAGGGCTCTGTTCACAACTGTTTACATGAACAATGAGGGCTCTGTTTACATGAACGCTGAGGTCTGTTCACTCCTGTTTACATGAACACTGAGGGCTCTGTTCACATGAACACTGAGGGCTCTGTTCACTCCTGTTTACATGAACACTGAGGGCTCTGTTCACATATGTTTACATGAACACTGAGGGCTCTGTTCACATGAACACTGAGGGCATTGTTCACAACTGTTTACATGAACAATGAGGGCTCTGTTTACATGGACACTGAGGTCTGTTCGCTCCTGTTTACATGAACACTGAGGGCTCTGTTCACATGAACACTGGGGGCTCTGTTCACAACTGTTTACATGAACACTGAGGGCTCTGTTCACTTATGTTTACATGAACACTGATGGCTCTGTTCACTCCTGTTTACATGGACACTGAGGGCTCTGTTCACATCTGTTTACATGAACACTGAGGGCTCTGTTCACAACTGTGTACATGGACACAGGGCTCTGTTCACTCCTGTTTACATGAACACTGAAAGGTCTGTTCACTCCTGTTTACATGAACACTGAGGGCTCTGTTCACATCTGTTTACATCAACACTGAGGGCTCTGTTCACAACTGTTTACATGAACAATGAGGGCTCTGTTTACATGAACGCTGAGGTCTGTTCACTCCTGTTTACATGAACACTGAGGGCTCTGTTTACATGAACACTGAGGGCTCTGTTCACAACTGTTTACATGAACAATGAGGGCTCTGTTTACATGAACGCTGAGGTCTGTCCACTCCTGTTTACATGAACACTGAGGGCTCTGTTCACATGAACACAGGGCTCTGTTCACAACTGTTTACATGAACACTGAGGGCTCTGTTCACATGAACACTGGGGGCTCTGTTCACAACTGTTTACATGAACACTGAGGGCTCTGTTCACATCTGTTTACATGAACACTGATGGCTCTGTTCACTCCTGTTTACATGAACACTGAGGGCTCTGTTCACATCTGTTTACATGAACACTGAGGGCTCTGTTCACAACTGTGTACATGGACACAGGGCTCTGTTTACATGAACAATGAGGGCTCTGTTCACAACTGTTTACATGAACACTAAGGGCTCTGTTCACATGAACACTGAGGCTCTGTTCACATGAACACTGAGGCTCTGTTCACTTACGTTTTCATGAACACTGAGGGGTCTGTTCACGTCTGCTTACATGGAAACTGAGGGCTCTGTTCACAACTGTTTACATAAACACTGAGGGCTCTGTTCACATCTGTTTTCATGAACACTGAGGGGTCTGTTCACGTCTATTTACATGAACATTTTCAGGCTTCATGAGGAAAGAGCAAAGACTGTTTCAAATATAAAAAAAATCATATAACAAAAACGGCTCATTCTTTTACAATCTGAAACTCTTCCATGTCAAAGAGTTTGTTACGTAGAAACTACTTTACTCAGGTATGCATGTACATGAAATATAGTTAAACATTGATTGACATGCTTATAATTGATTGATGAGAAGAGACAAAAATAACAATAAAAATAGTTCCCATAAAATGCAATTTCTCCAAAGTGGCATTATGTTTGCAGGAGTCTATACTCGAACCAACAAGGATTGTTTGAGTTGTGTGGACATTGACAAATTTATATTCTACATCTTAACCTTTTCAACACCAAACTTTCTCTTCCAAATTTTTCTGCACTTTTTTCTTATATTCTTTAAAATTTCCGGAAATGAACCCTAATTTTGGAGCCAAAAGATAAAATTTTAGTCATTTTTCAGTTTTTATTTAAAAAAATTGGCTACTTTTTTCCAATCTTCTGAAGGTAAGTGCAGACTATAAATGGGACTATTATGTGAATTTGGGATAAAAAGAGGGAACTGGTACTGATAAGGTTAAAAGTCTTTACAGAAAAAATGTGATGTGATATAATGAACACCTAAATGTTATTGTGCCCTACTCAACACATGCATTTTGTACAAGATAGTTCACTAAGTCCATATACAATGTATAACCAAAATATTAAAACTAACCTCAGGAATTTCTTTCGACCCTAAAGACTTTGGTCCTTCTCTGTTTAAATAAGCCCTGTACATTCCCTTTTGCTTGGATCCCTGTGGTGTTCCATCCTCAGTATCACCACCTGTGGCAGGAGTTGTTTTTTTAGGAGTTACAGTTTTCGCTTGGGACTTGGTCGGTGTCTTCTGTGGAGTTTCCTTGATAACTGTTACTTTAGATTTGCTACCATTTTCATCAAGTTTCCTTGGAGTTGGTTTCCGTGGTGATTTAGTCGGTGTGTCTTCCACAAGCACTTTGACATTCCTTGCCTTGTTTGCGAGTTTACTGGCCAACCCGGTCTTTTCTGTAAAATCAGATATCAAGATATTTTGTTAGACAATTGTTTAAATTCATTTATTATTTCACAACATTCAAGTATACGATCACATAATAACTATGTTGCTACAGTGCAACTGCAGACCTTGCATATTTCAGTCAGGTAAAACTGAATCAAACCATTTTAATAAGTATATCAAACTCACAAACAAGGCTTTTACATAACCACATTCGCACAAATTTAATGAATGAATATGGTAATACCTTTTTTGATTTTCTGAGGAGTTATTTCCGAACGCACAGATTTTCTAGGTGATGTCCTCCATGGTACAGGTTCCTGAAATTAAACACAAAAGTGTAACATGACATGGCCTGGCTGTTGTACATTTTTACTGTGTTTAATGAAGCCATAAAACAGAGGAACCATTAACAAGATTTAGATTTTAGTCAATATGATATTTGCTCCATTAGAAACACACATAAAATCAAATTGGATTTATTAATTACTGGATCATTAAAATATGACATCATTTCACCCATAGAGACACTTCTTTTATTCGCCCAAGCATTTTTAATATCTGGTAATTATACAAGCCAATTTTATTGGATTCGATCTTGAATCACCTAGACATCTAACAAAAAGAAGGGGTTGTCATGTCATTACTTTACTGTCTTCTTCGTCCTCATCCAGTTGATCTAATGTTTTCATAAAATCTATATCATCATGGTCTTCTTTCTCCTTCTTGAATTTTGAAGGACTTTCTTCTGGTGCCTGAAAATGGCAAAAAATACTGAAGTTTATACATGCAATATTTCATTTATACTTTTTTTGGAATGAGTTGAACTCAGGTCAGAACAAATCTTTTGTATTATTAAACATCAACAGTTTGAAAGTTGCTGTGGTCTGTGATCTGATACACGAGTCGTCATTCAAAATGATTTCATTAGGACAAACTTTGATTTTGAACAAGATACTACAATGTAGCAAATGTCCTATGATCATTGCAGGAACAAGTTAACCTTTGACCCATAATCATTTGACCTTTAACCCTGTCATGTTTCACAAAATAAACCTTTATAATTTGTTTTTAATATTTTTTCAAAAGTTTTGACGAAGACATGTAGACAATAGAAAATGATGTCTGTCTTGTTCAAAATTAACAAAAAAATTATAGAAAAATAAACAACAAATTTGCAAAATGTTTTGGCATGAATAATTATGGTATTCAAAGGGTTGGGAAGAATTAACAGTAACACATACAAAGTGTCTCAACACACATTGCATTGTCAGTTTGAAAGAATAACAACTATAGACTCAGTATTACCATCTTTCGTTTGGATGCTGGCGTCGATTTTGTAGCAGATCTGTGTATGGGTCCTGTGCCAAAGAAATCAAAAGCTGTTGTTTCTTTTCTTTTCACTGGAGTTTCTTCCTTTTTTACCAATTTCTTTGGTAAAGGTTTTACTTGTATTCTATCATGCATAACTTCCTCCTCATCTGCAAATTATGATGTTAGAAACAAAAATTTCATTTTATTTGAAGCGGAAGGGTCACGATAACAACAAACACTGAAAACACAAAGGTTCAAGGGTAGACAATTGTAATATGTAAACAATGACACGCTATGGCCATCTGACGCATGTAACACTCTCGCTTAAAGCATGACTAGACTAAGAGTAGCTCACTGTTTGGCAGAGCCAAAATCGATACTGTAACTTAAGGTGAGAATATACATTTCTGGTGGTGAAAATATACAAATACAGGATTAACACTATAGACTTTAGAGAGCTCATGTAACTATGGTATTATTTAATTTAATGGAACATTTCTTAGTATTTGAATGTGATTTCAGACTTGCAAGATTACATTTGAATTCCAAGCCTAGTTTCATCACGCATAACACAAACCCAATAAAACATTTATCATGTTTTTTGAGAACGAATAACCATTGTGAGCATCAGGAGTTAAACTACTGGCATTAGAATTAGAACAAATTTGGGACATGGAGTTGACAACTGATACAATATCTTTATTTGATAAAAGTGTGATATTGTTGTCGTGGAATAGTTAAACAACCAAGAATACATTAGAGCTGGATACACCAGAAAAAGTCACACAAAGCATTATTCTATTCTGTTTAATCTTTTCTTCAGCTGCCAGTCCCTGTATTCTATTGTGTCCTTGATACCAAAAATATACACATTACTGAATATCACCTGACTACATGAACATTTATACATGTACCTCAGTAGTCAATCATGTCTGTATATTTTTGCAATATATCATCATAGATTATTGCCTAAATATATTAAAAATATACATAGAAATTGAATTTGCTAGATGCGATAAAGACTACCTAGGGGCCTCACATAAATTTGACATCATGTGCCTGACGGCTATGGGGTAGAAGCCTTTGGCTGACCAGGATGATGTGGAGGCCAGAGATCGATATACAACAAATATGTAATTCTGATTACTTTTATGGTATCTCTTTCAGTAGGTGATTTTCAAAATACCAGACCAATGCAGTGTACATCAGAATGCAGTTGTCTGAAATCATGTGCTGGAAATGCTTATCAAGTTCTTGTATTATAAAAGTCTAATTCTTAGTCTGGAATTCAGCCATTCAGAGTACCCTTCTCAATACATTAAAGAATCGTCTGAATACTAACTTAACTAAGTCTGCACAAAAGTGTGTCTGATTGGCTGTCTCCATTACCATGGGAACTTGTATGCACAGACCGACTGATTTTACCAGTCTATTATTCAGAGATTTTTCAAAGTCTCAAGATAATAGACATCATCTAGCCTACTTGTACATAATTCTGGACACCTTTGCAATATTACACACAGTTAGTCATACACTAAACACCAGCAACATGCACACAATAGTGCACATGTAGTATACCCTAATATGATGCGCAAGAAGGATATATGCAAGTCTTACTATTAAAACAACTACCATTTGCAGTAGTACCTGAGTCAGGAATTATTGTAATATCTTCTTTCTTCATTATCTTGGATGCCTTACCATTGACTTTTGGAACATTCTTCCGAGTTGCTTTAACAGGACTTTCATCTTCTGAATCTAAATACATGCAAGAAATCAACATAAATGTATGTGATTTTAAAGACAGTAGACGTATAAGAACAGTCACTGTAACTACACTACTGTCTGAAGATGCCTCAAATACATTTTTATACTCCTGGCCAAAATCTTGACAGGGGAAGCCATGAATCACTTACAGTCTGTGATTTTTGTGACTACTCTCATGAAGTGATATTATACCCACCAGATTCATCTTTGTATTGATTCACAAGTATCCTGGATCTCTTGAACACTCACTGAAATATCAGCTTTAGACATACATGGTTTTTAATCCTTTTCTCATCAAAATGTCAGAAATTGTCCTCATTTGTAATATTTATTAGCATCCCTAGGCTAGTATGTGGAAATTAAGTTTGTGTTTGGTATTATTTATACAAGTTTGTATGTATCGCACTGTTCCAGAAAGAGGTTTCATATATGTACATGCACTTTGGTGATTTACATATACATGTACACTGTATTAGAGAAATACATGCATGTAGAAACCTAGTACAAACGACTGATATAATTAATATAATAACAGGTATCAATGTAGATACTCACCAGTATCAAATATTACACCAGATTTTCTTGATTTTGTAGTTTTCTTTGATTTTTTAAGAGTCACAAATTCCTCTTCGGCAGACTGACTGCTACTTCCTTTGAACTCCGGTCTTTTCCTTTTTCCTGATTTGCTTTGTATTTTCCCCTTCCTTGTATCTTTCTCAATAGGCTTTGTTTTTTGACTTGGTTTACTGCCACCAGCAGACCCAAAAAAACTTCTGATATCCTGGGTAGGAAATATTAAGCATATGTATTCAACTGCAGACATACAGGGTTAGGCAACAAAAGCCAAGTGAAGGTACAATGTAATACCAAGATGCACCGACTGAATGCCTTGATGTACTTCTGAATAGTCACATACTTCTGTCAAATTCTTCAATAATTCTAAAACATTAAATTTTCAATGACCAGGATAACATTTGATTGTTTTGTTTTTTGTATTCGCTAGTTTTTAAAACTTAAGAAAAAAGTGTGGTATGAATATTAATTAATCATTTTAAGTATGTTCAAATGCAAATAGTTCTAAAAGTGTGTAAACGTGTTATTCGAGAAATGGCTATATGAATCAGTTTAGATGAGTTAGCATTGCATTCCAGGTCTGATACGATTGGCAGATATATCATAGTCCATGTTTTATTCCGCAATGTTTACAATCGGACAGCCAGGTCACGATGGGTCACACACCCTCACAAGCGGGACGAAAGTTCACACTGGATTGCACACTATTTGTGAATAATTAACTCGGACTGACTCCTTTCAGCTTGCCCGAAGTGTTGTCATTGTCACTACTCTGTCAAAATCGAACTTAAATGCTGAAACTCAACTCACCATGTTTTCGTAGTTCGTTTCGATACGATCAGCTGTTAGCTGTCATGTCAGCATGTTCGCGCCAAAAAGTTCACTGAGCATGCGTGAAATTTCGAAGTTTGTCAGATGCGTTTGTGATCGGTTAGGGTTTGTAGATCACAAATAAAGCCAACATGCTGTATATTGTAAAATTTTTAAATAATGGTGAATATGAAATATACATGGGTTTAGCCAATTTACGGTATTATGTATTCCTTTTCATATGTAAATTACATGCGTGCGCATCGAATAGTTGTTCAGAAAATGGCGGACCCGTTGAACAGGTAAACAGTCGCTGTTTTGACAAATATTGGTTTTCTCTTCATATTTGCCTAGTGTCGCTATAATCACGGAATTTGTTGAATTTATTTGAAAACTGTGCTCAGTGTGGCGGAAGTATTGTACATATGCTTGCGACTTAACGTTCTATCGTGTTTTCGCTGAGGTCGAGTCGACATGCTTGAAATCCTGCACCCGCGCAGTTGATGACACTATGGGTCTATTGTTTTTTCCAATGGTCAGATTAATTATAGTCACAAGTGACAATTAAGGACTTTAACGACAGAGCAAATGTTTTCTCATATATGTATGGGTCGTGAATCCACACTCCAATTCTTGATTGGAATTGCGATAATACATGTATCTAGTAACTGCATCGACCAAAAGTCTTTCTACACTTGACGTTCGACTTCCCGTGTTATAAAAATGTCGAACTGTTTTAATTGTTGCCAGGGTCTTCAAATGGAAAAATAATTGCTTTAATCATTGTGCGATGTGGGTTTAGTCATGATCGTGCACCACCATTACGATTTTCTCAGTGTTTCTAGGTTGCATGGCAACCGGTGTGGAGGAGAAAGAAAATGATAATTACCAGTCAAGGATGAATTCATCTGTAAAAAAAATAGCATTTAGATTGAGTTCTTTGTGGCGATAAATTCACAATTTTAATAAACCCTTATAATTTGTTATGTTAATAACAGATACCACAGAAACTACATGTAATTGCTCCCTTCTTTCCAGATAAATTTCTGTATTGTAAGTGTGTTCGTCAATTTAAAAGGTGTCGGCCACCTTTTTTGTCTGCCTGAATATTGTATAAATTCAAGAAAAATAAAAGGATTTTTCTGGCAAAGAAAAAAAAAAAAAAAAAAAAAAATAGGTGCATCACTGTATACATTTTTTAAGATCTTATTACCAGAAAAAAATTAGGGCATCACAAGTCTAAGTGTATGGCAAACAGTGAACACTAGGTGATATGTACTACATGTACCTGTATCAATAGTCATCTCTTAATTAATTTCTTCCTTTGTGTTTAGCGATATGGCAGTACAGGAACAGAAGATTGGTCGCTGGTCAAAGCAGGCACTCTCATCTGGTAGGTTAGGATATACGTTGCCATACCAGCGACCGGCTTCAGTGTCTCCCATCAGAGACTCACCAGTCAGGATAAAATTGGGAGAACTGTCCCTGAATTCGCCATTGGTAAGTTGTACATGATGTATTTCATTTATTGTTCACCCTGGGTAAGCCTGTGTAATATTGAATGTTTTGATTTTTGTGTGTTTCAAATTCAAAGACTGTAAATAGGAATTTTGTAAACTCGTGAGTCGTCTTTAAGAATGCCTTCATACATGTATAATGAAAATTTCTGGCAAGAAAAATTAAACCACTTACATTAATTAATTCATGTGAAGGACATTCATTCAATTGCTTGAAGATGAAGGAGTGTTCTGTGAATAAGTTTAATTTCGTAAATTTTATATTAACATTCATAAAATATTTTCAGTAGCCCATATTCCCCTGGAGTTATTTTAAGCCACATAGACAAACAATTGCATTTGCAAAATTTCATCAATAATGTCTTCAATCAAACCAAAAAAAATTTAACAGTTTGAATACATGTATGTACATAAACATGTACTCTATGAGTGTTATTCCAGATTCTGTATGCGTTTATTTCTCTGATAATGACATTATACATGCACATTTTACATGTACCACTTTAATTCTGTCTAGTGTAAATGATTTAGCTTGTATTGTACTGTCTAAATAATCCAATTATGTCAATGAATGATTGTATCAAACTATGTTCAAGAGATGGCATGGCGTTCCTGTATCCAAACAAAATGGAATGTCACACACATAAATAACGATTCTATTGTTAGTTCTGTAAACAAAATATATACATGTAGCTGAATTTCATCATCATTTTTGGCCATACAGACAGTTTCATTATACTTTTATTTTTTGATCAAAAGGTTTGTCCATTGTAATGAAAATTCCATACCGGGAAAAGCAGACTATACAAAATCATTTTGTTAAATACATAATTCCAAGTGATATGCAGGAGTTTTATGGATTGCTTTGATTTCCATCCTTTTATGGTGAAATAATTTTTGAAAGTAAAGTTGTGTATGACCCAGGAATAGAAAATGTATCCAATATGAAGCAAATATTAAAACTGATCAACAGAGTGGGTCAGATACGCATGTATAAAATGGAACAGCCCATTTTGTCAGTGAAAGGGTTAGCAGTATTTGATTAGTTTAAAGTAATGCCTGGATTCTAATGTCTGGCCTTAGGGAATGGAATAAATACAGTTATTACTTATATGATGGGAATTAATATTACTGATATTATCAGTATGAATGATGAGTATTGGTTCAAGGTTATACTAATTAATAAGTCATTGTCAGTATTTTCTGACAATCTCACTGGTGAATGGGATTATATTACAAATGGACATTAGGTTTAATACATTTGTGTTGATAATTTATTGAAGGCTGACTGAGTTGAGGGACAAAAATTTAATTATTGATATAATGCACATCACAATGAAGTAGAGGGGCAATATTGATATAATGCACAACATGACTTTATTAAAGGGAAAATTAATATTGTTGTCATCTCTCATATTCTAATACACCAAGCTGATTGGAGGAATGGAATAGCTCACAAAATAACCCACAGTTTATGCTAATCATGCCGACATTCGGCTCTCATAGCGCTGCACGTCAAACCATGCAAACACACCATTCTCACTGCGATTACGGGTATGTAAAATGTTGAAAGTCCAAGTACAGACAGGTTTGGCAAACTCGATAACTGACAATAAATGTAAAAAAAAAATAGGTCTCAGCATTGTAGTGTTGTCAACATCGCTTGGGATTTGACAAATGTGAAAGTATCTGCTCTGCTAGGATTGCTCTCAAAATCACTTGTGTGTGTATGTATGTATGTGTGTGTGTGTGTGTGTATATATGTATGTGTGTGTGTGTGTGTGATATTCCGTGTCTTCACATTCATGTATAATTCTTCTGTGATTTTTTTGGCTGGGCTGATTTCGCTCAAACTAGGCAGGCAGGTCCCACTGTTAGTCTAGTTATGTGGTAAAATCTGAAAAAATTTCTGGCCCATCGTTATTATTGTAACAGCCCAAAACAATGATTTTTGAATATTTTTGTGCCATGTATCTTACAATGTACCTTACAATTCCAGGATAAAAAACCTCAGACATGATAGCTCATTCTACTCAGCTTGAGTGTGGGCACAAAGTTACTATTTGAATTTTTGGAATCTTTTTTCATTACCAAGACATTTGACCTCAAAATTGGGGTAATTTTCCATCAGTAAAGGCTTTTTAACTCTTCTGTGATTTTTGTGGTTGGGCTGATTTCATTCATACCTGTCATGACTGAGTTGAGGAGCATTATTTAATGTTTTTTTTAAATGTTTGTTTTTTTGTGCCAGGCGACAGTTCCAGGCAATGAATGTCACTGTTGTCTCTTCTGACTTTTTTTTTGTATGTGCAAATTGCAAGTGCTTAATTAATTATTAATTATTATTATAATGCACATCATGATTGAGTTGAAGGAATACATTTATTGAGGCAATACAGGTTGACTGGCTTAATTCAGAAAACTTGTGTCCATCATATTCAGCGCCATCTCCTGGCAACGTTTTAAGAATGAATTCTGACCTCCTCATCTAGAGAGGGCGCTCTTTCAAATTTAATTACTGTATCAAAGTGTTCAGGATGATTTTAATACACCCAGTCTTCATGAACAAATGATTCAGTATATTATACAGTTTGGAATCCTTGAAATGTTGTTTATCAAAAGTAGCAAAATTGTTAAAATAAATATCATTTGCAATGCTGTTTAAGACTTAACAGTGATACTGTATATGCCAGTAATAGTCATGTTTATTCACTACCGGTACTAACTTGCAAATGCTTCTTGTTAATTTGGGGGGAAAATGTGGACAAATATATTCTCCTCTTACCTGTCAAAAGAATTGTATCTTTTTTTAGCTTGAGTCATTTTTTCCTAGTTATAACAGAAATTCCTCAATGGAGTAGAATTTGCTCTTATTACACTTCTATAATATTATTACTAATATTAGTTAAGATCATTTTTCTCTTGTTAAAACAGACATGTCTTAATGTAACAAGCCTTCTCTTATTACAAGCCATTGTGTAATGGAAGTCCTATAGAATAATCTCTAAGGAGTACTTGTATTTTATGTGCTTGAATTGATAAGAATTGCTGCATTATGACTGGAGTTAATGATGCAGTCATTCTAATGGACAGTAGATGGTTGTTAGATAAAGAAAAATGAGGGATCATCAACGCCTATCAATCATTGGGTCTAAATATTATGAAATTGTTCAAGTCTCAGAAATATATTATGTTTTAAGTCATCATGGCCATCAGTTAAAACATGCACGTTTTATGTTTGTAAGAGTTGTTATAATCCAAGATATTTGACGTTACTGGACTAGAGTGATTATCGCTAGAGTTTTGTAATAATCTGAGCCATAGGCTTGAATTGTTACTTCTCTGCTGGTACAGTAATTGCAATAATGCATCAATTTTGAAAAGAAAAATTAACCAGAAACTTGTTTCTTCGGGCCCAATAGATAATTGTCTATTGTGGCAGAGTTTTAGAATTGTATACACATTTAAATGTTGCTTGAGTGTATATATTCATCTATGAACCATTTCCACTTAGATGTACATTGTACATACAGTGATAATTCATAGCATTATTAATATTTTATTCATCCTAGCAACGGAAGTCTATGATCTTGTGCCTAATATGTACATAATACTCATATTAATAATACACCACATGGGTAAATTTCACATCACGTTTACCACAGATTATCATCACTCACTTATTGCATTCACTGTTCCCTCCAGATCCTAATAAAGTAGTGGCCCAACTACTTAGTAATATTGATAAACAATGGGGTCAAATTATGTATCATAACAAGGAAGGCAAGAGGCAATAAAAAATGCATTAAGCATTTTTTCTGAGCAAAACTCTTGCATTCAGGCCATGTCTAAAGAGGGATGCCGAGTGGCTTGAATTGGCCTGTGGATAGTAGAGTATTGCTTGTACTTTGAAAAGCTTTTGCATTATTTCTTGGTTGACGTGTTCATCACTATTAAATGCTTGACTTGTAAAATATGCCAGATGTAGCCATGAAGTTCAATAATTGAATTTGAGAGCAGTGCAGCTTCCTAGCTATAATAGTTTTGGAGCCAGTCAAAAAAAATATCCAAGACATACTATACATGTATACATAAATGTAAGGTAGTCAAAAAAAGCATGATAAAATACTATATAGGATTGGGGATGGAGTATAATTCACAGGAATTATGAGGAGAATAGGAGGTAGAGTAGTGATGTCGCTCTTGAAAATTAATGTGAAAAAAACATCTTGTGAAGCATATCATAGTATGAAAACGAGCATTCAGAAAATAATTAATTAGACTGTGACGAGATACATGTATGTAAGGAGCCAACAGGGCTATATGGCAAATATAAGGTTGATTCTGAAAACAATTCTCAGAGCAGTGGTCTTCCCATGTTTTAATGCATATACATTTGTACTTGAAATTATATTTATAATGTCAGTTCTAGTACCATTTATTGCTTCTACTGTCATACAAATAAATCATTGTTTTTTATTTATACATGTACATGTATGTGAGTAATACGTTCTCGGTGCCACACACCCTAATTTGCATGTTTCTTAATGCTTTGGATATTTTTCATTGTGTGTGGTAATACATGTACAAAAGAGTGCATCCTGATCACCAGCAAATAATGTGATATTACTTTATTTTTGAGGGGAGGGGGGAATTACCATTTCATTATACCGGTAATAACGATAATGAGCAGTTGCTTTGCTGTCTAAATTAACTCATTGTGATTACCAAACAATCAACTCATGTATACGTGTTCCAGGGCTTGAACTTCACAGAGCCATCAAAGTCAATTGCTTCAATGCCTGACGAGTTTAAATCAGTGCCCTTTGATAAATTTTCTCTAAACTGTAATTTTTGCTTTGAAAACAGGTGACCTCTTAACTTTGACATCAAATTTCTGGTTTAACAACGGCTACCATTAGTGGTATGATCTCCCTGTAATTTTGTTATTTTTATCATGATTATATTACAAGCAAACACATT